TGATACAACAATGGCTCTGAAGGAAGACAATGAGTTAAAAGGCAACCAATAGTCTGGTGCAGTGGCTTACACCTGTAATCCCAGCAGCTGGGGAGGCTGAGGCAGGAGGATCATGAGATCAAAGCCAGCCTCAGTAAAAGCGAGGCACTAAGCAACTCGTGAGACCCTGTCTCTAAATAAAATACAAAAGAGAGCTGGGGATGGGGCTCAGTAGTTAAGTGTCCCTGCATTCAATCCTTGGTACCAAAAAAAAAAAAAAGGCAACCAATAAGAGGTAGGATCACAGGGGTACCAGTAGGGGTGGCAAACACAATACCACTTAATTTTAAACTTAAAGAAATAGAAAGCTAGTAAGTAGAGTCAAACCTAAAGAAAGAAATAACATTTCAGTATATCAAGTTATTTACTTTTTGTTTTACCTGTTGTAACTGAATTTCTCTAAGAACAAAGCAAATAGAATCTGAAGTTCATTTCTCAAAAGCTCAAAATACCTAATTTTCATAGTATGTACATTCTCTTAATACAAGTTCATCAAAACATATTTTTTCAGAAACAAAATTTTAAATAATTCTGACTATTCACTAGAATGGAAAGTTGGATATAAATGGGTCTTAAATGGGGACAACTGGCAACGCCTAGAGGCATTTTTGATGGTCACGATTGTAGGGATGGTGCTAACATCTAGTAGGTAAAACCTGGGATGCTATCAAACACCTTACAATAAACAAGACAACCCCCCACAATAAAGAATTTTCAACCCAAAATGTCTACTGCTAAACCCTGCTATAATCCCACTTCAATCCCTAAATCCTTAAAATTGCTGTTATTTTGAAAATTCATTTTTTAATACACCTTAGAATGTTTTTAGTACTCTTTATATAAATATATTAACAGAATCTGAATATAAAAAACAAAGACATTAAAATATCTAAAAGTTTTGCATTCAACATTTATATCCTCTTAAGTAGAAAAAAAAAGTTCTATATTTTTACATATATACTCACACTTTCCCTTATTTGTGCATCTAGAAGATAGTTATAGGGACAAAAGACGATGTCAGCATCTCCTATCAGTTCTCGAGCTGTGTAATATGGGCATGCCTTTAGTTTTTTCCCCAGGCTTACAAGTTCTTCTATATCCCAGGCTTTGCACATCCCATGAAGAGTCTGTAATGTGTGTTGATCACTAATTTTATGAACACCATGATAGAAATAGCAGGATTTTCCCTAAAAACAAATATGCATAATCAAAATATGAACCAATATTGGGATAGAAGGAAAAAATTAGTTCATTTCAGAATTCTAGGAACACTGTTAAAGCCACAATGTTTTATGAAACACCATATTTAAAACTGGAACTTCATATTCGCTTGTTGCTAAGAGATGAGGTCCCTCTATGTTGCCCATACTCCAGGGCTCAAATAATTCTCTTGCCTCACCCTCCTGTTAGCTGTTACCACCACATCTGGCTACAATCACAACCATTTTAAAGAAACAATAGTAGTTGACTCAATAGTAGTTGAGATAGAGCTCCTGACAAGCTAAATTCCTGATATCCCATATTCACTTTAAAAAAATATTTTTAAATTATGTTTGTTGTGGTTTTGTTTTGATTAAAGTGATATTAGTGGGGCTGGGGATGTGGCTCAAGTGGTAGCGCACTCGCCTGGCATGCGTGCGGCCCGGGTTCGATCCTCAGCACCACATACAAACAAAGATGTTGTGTCCGTCAAAGACTGAAAAATAGATATTAAAATTCTCTCTCTCTCCCTCTCTCTCTCTCACTCTCTCTTTAAAAAATAAAATAAAATGATATTAGGAATAAAATATTTCTGGAAGGATACAAAGAAAAATGGTGTCACTTGTTGCTTTTAAGGAAGAGAATGAAGGAACTTGGGCACTGGCATAGGAATGATTTTTCTCTATAGACTCTTTTGTACCCTTTTGTGTGTGGTGCTGGGGATCAATTTTGAGTTGTGTAATAGTATTCAAATATAAATGAGAAGGAAGAAAGATAGGCTGGATCATTTTGGGGGATAAACTTAAGATCACTACAAAAAAAAATCAGAAAATACAAAAGGATATCCCCCAAAACTCCTATATTATAATCCCATCACACAAAAATGTACTATTAACATTTTGATGTATTTTATTTTGTATTTCTTCTCTACATGTTATTTAAAGATAAATCTCTACAATGCAATAAGAATAAAATTATCCCCAGGAACTGAGGATTATTAACAGTCTAACCAAAATAAATAAATATTTTTATTATTTTTCTCTGCTTATTTATTAAATATGGTATCAGAAAACTGCTCTTATAATGCCAGGTATTGTTTTATTGCTATATAAATATATGTATATACATATATATATATGCACACACATATGTATATAGTTACATTTTTATTCATATATAATAGATATTAATTTAACATATCTGTATATGCTAAATTAATGTGTCATAGTTCATTAATCAGTTTCCTTATTACCAGACATTTAGACTATTATCAATTTCTGCTTTAAAAATAATGCAGTAAATAACCTCATGTCCATTTCTTTTTTTTTTTTTAATGTGCAATAACTTTTTTTAATTTTTTTTTTGGTTATAATTAGTTGCACATGACAGTACAATAATATTTCTTAGTACATATTTTTAGAAATGGCCTTATGGGATCAAAAATAATAAAGCATTTTTAGGTTTCTTGAAAGCATATCACCAAATTACCTATTAGAAACTATATTCCATTTTACTTGGCCCATTTCCACATTCTTAACACGACTGATATTATCTTTTATTATTTGTCTATTTTAAAAGTGAAGAATAACATTTTCTTGTTTCTATTTGTATTTTTCAATAGTTTCTAGCAAGATTTAATATTATTTTGCCTGAATATTCACAAATTCAGCAATGTGGGACATGGTGGTACACACCTGCAACCCCAGCTACTCAGGAAGCTGAAGCAGAAGGATCACAAGTTCAAGACCAGCCTCAGAGATTTAGTGAGATTATGTCTCAAAACAAAATGAAAAAAATAAATAAATAAAATAATGGACTGGAGATGTAACTCTGGGTTCAACCCCTAGTATTGCAAAAAAAGTAAACAAAAAAGTTCAATGGTAATTTCTATTTCTTTCGTTACATACTGAGATCATTTTATATTCTATTATTGGAAGTAAAAAAATTTTATTACATGTATTAATAATAAAAGAAAGGTGTTTGATAAAACCCCGTCCTAGCAAGTGTATGTTATATACTATTTAAAAATGTACAAAATTAGTACAAATATAAATACATACCATTTAGTAGAAGAATAAACTTCTAATAGTAGAAAGTACACAGGCAATTTGTCAAATTTTCAAAATTTTAAATTTTACCATTAATATATTATATATTGCATATATATGTATATAACATATACATAATATATATATATATAATATATACATGCTATACAACACACTAAATATATACATATGTACACAAAACACACAAATTGTACTATTTAACAGATTTAAAAAACTGAAAACAAACCTAATGCTACCACCTACAGCATCCATGTTAAATAAATTATGGTAAATTCACACAGAAGCTATAACTCTAAAACGAGTTAGATTTGTCTGTGTGATAATGTGTTCAGCTTCCTGAAGACATGTTGATGAAGAAAAATAGATACTGAATAATGTGCATAAAATTATTAAGTTCATAAAGCTGTTATTTTAAATAAATGAGCATAGCCAAATACAGTGGCACATGCCTTTAATCCCCAAAACTCAGAAGGCTGAGGCAGGAAAATTGCAAGTTTGAGACCATCCTCAGAATAAAAATTTTTTTAAACCTTTATTTTTATTTATTTTTTATTTGGTGCTGTGGATTGAACACAGGGCCTCGCACATGCTAAGCAAGCGTTCTACCGCTGAGCCACAACCCAGTCCCCATTCTCAGAAATTTAATGATGCCCTAACCAACTTAGTGAGACCCTGTCTCAAAATAAAAAGATAAACAGGCCTGGGGATATAGCTGAGTGGTAGAGTGCCTCTGGGTTCAATCCCCAGTACCACAAAAGAAAAAAAAAAAGTAAAGAAAAGAAAAAACAATAAGTATGCATATATTATAGCAAATACATTTTCTAAATGTTTTGCCAGAATATACATAAAATTTCACAGTAGTTTCCTTGAAGTAACCACTTAAGGGGCCAGGGGAATTCCTTTCTTTATTTTATCCTTTTCTATAACTCTGGATTTTCTAACCATATTTACATGCATTAATTTTCTGTTTCAAGTATTCAATAATAAGTGGTAGAATAACAGGTCATTTCATTTCTACTAATTCCATGTACTAATAAAAAATTAAAGATGATTTTGAAGTAAAAAATCTCTCTCAGTATATCCTTAACAAGTGAAAATATTTACACACACACACACACACACACACACACACACAAATTATCCATAAATCATCCAAAAGGAGAATGTTTTGAAAACATACACACATTATGTACATTCATATGCCCAATTGCTAGAAACAGAGTAAACCTACAAAGAAGACAAGACGCTCTCAAAGACTAGTACTAGAAGTACTAGAAGACTAATACTTCCAAAGTTTTATATTCAGCCCTGCTCAGAGAAAGTACCTGCTACTTCTCCAAAGTATTAAAAATAATTAGGAGGAAAGACCTCTCCTAACTATATTTATTTAGTTCATTTTTACATTATTTTTCATTTACTTTGTCTAACATCTACTACTCTTTTTTTTCCCCTTTACACTGTGTCAACTTCCCCATACTTTAACAACTCCTTCAGTTTTATTTCTAGTGTAAACAAAATAGCAGTGGGGGGGCTGGGGTTGTGGCTCAGTGGTATGAGGCCCTGGGTTCGATCCGCAGTACCACATAAATATAAATAAATAAAATAAAGGTATTGGGTCCAACTACAACTAAAATATTAATTAATTAATTGATTGATTGATTAAAAAATAGCAGTGGGGTAAGTGTTAAAGAACTTGAGTTCTGGTTCCTCCTTTCTTGGTAATTACTTGTGCGACTGAACATACTTTAGGGCCCATTCTTCTCATGCGACTAAGCATCAAAAGAGTAGTGGAATCAGATTTTAAACATTCCTTTTGACTCAGTGACTATACCATCTCTGAGTTCCTTCCAGCTCTAAAATTCTGTGATTTGAGGATCCAGAGATACATGGAGATGTGCCAATTATCATTCATACCAAGTCTGGTATGAATGATACCATTTTAAAAATTGAATGTTCACCATTTCTAATTCCAATTGTCTTTCAGACAATTCCAAAGCTTATCTTTGTACAAAATGGTCACTAAGATACCTTGGAAATCTATGATTATGAACTGATAAGGCTACATTTTAATAAAAAACAGATATTCTATATCTAAGATATTATTTTATAATTCTCATTTCTGGTTCTAGTTAAAATCATTTTTTCTAATTGAAATAAAAATTAATCTTTAATAGACAAGTGCATAATTTTCCAGTATGAGGACACTTTAATAAAACAGTGAACAAAAACACATGCGCCTTCTGATCAAGCCAAAAAATCAGAAAGTTTATACTTCGAGGGCGCTTAGAAAGAGCCCTGTGCAGGCTGATAGCAAAACCAGAAAAGCTCATCCATTTTAGCAGTGTAACACAACCCTAAGGGGAGTTTGTCAATTGAAGCGTTATCACACTTTAAACTCTTTTCACTCAAACTGTCAGTTATCTATTTATCATTTCGCTTTGGTGATTCAGCCATAGTAAATACAGACACCTATGGTGACTTTGTAATTGGCCCCCATTACAATACCAAATTACTCTGAGGGCTTGGGAACAAGAAAAAGAATGTTCACTATGCCTATGAGGTACCATTCTGAGGCAGAATTAGGTCAAGGCAAACTGTAAGCAGGTATTTTCAATTATTCATATCACTAATATTCAAAAACAAAATACTTGTTGAAGACAAACTAAAGGTCAACAAAAAACTCTAAACTTTTTATTTTTACATGTTTCAAACTTGAGTGAATATCCATCAAAAACAAAACCAGCACTACAGTATTCTAGAACATTATAAGACTTTATCTTGAAATTATAATCTTAAACTTTTTAATGACTTTTTCCAAGGTATTTTATAACACATGTATTTGTTCATAAAAGAATTTTCTCCGTAATGAGTTTAAAAAAATTTTTGAATAATAATGCTAATGAATTTTCTTGTATAGAATACATAGCCAAAAAAGTACTCAGGTCACTGAGAAATTCAACAGATCAGGTACCAATTACAGAAAGATGTCTACTTAACAATGAAGGTCATGAACAATGTTTTCTTTATTTATATTTTTTAACATTTGCCTTTTTAATATTTTCATCTCTCTTCTAAGAGAACTTTTTAAATATCTATAGTAAAAAGATGTCACAATTCCTTAGTTAGAAAGAATGTACATGGAAATAAATATAACTTTAGGATTTCAATAATGGTTTTAATCCAATAATTCTATATTTTCTTTCTGGCTCCAAATATGGCAGTGGAGTTCCTTACAACTAATATTTTATAATCTCACAATCTTTGAATATCTATTAAGGTATGTTTTGAATAGCTCTAAATAAATCAAATTCTCATTTGATTTAAAAAAAAAGCATTGGAGAAAGAAAAGCATAAGACAAAATAATTTACTCACACTATATAGTAGGCACTGACCTACCATATCATATAGTGTGAGAGCTGTAGCTGATAGTCTTTGTGTAAATCAACTCCAATAAAATAGTAGTAAGAGACAAAACAATTTTCAAAATAAATTACAATATCATTGTTCATTTCATATACTGGTTCGATAATGATTTCTGAGTATAATTTCATTACTTACAACTTCAACTTTAGAGTAAATTAGTTATATTAGAACACAGACTCCCAAAATACTATTACCTCAAAGAATATTTTAAAATCATGTCTTTAATTACCCAATACTCTAATTTCCTGGAAAATTTCAAAAGCATTTATGAAATCTTCTAAGTCAATAGTCTAATATAATTTTTAAAATAGAAGTTTGTGCAAATTAGAATTAGGAAACAGGAATAATCACATTTTGCATTCAATTAAAATTCTTTTCTAAATTTTTTCTAAGAAATAGCCTAAATAAACATCTTCTCTTTAGGTTTTTTGACATGTAAAACATAATAATTAGATGTAAGTACAATAAATCATTTAGACTTTTTTATCTTTTCATCCACATATATTTTTGGTAGAGGAATTTAGAAATGATTAAGTCTGACTCCAATGGAAATTAATTTCACGGAATTAAATATATGCAAGCTTTAGAACCAAAATCTATAATTCTAAACTTAAAGAAAAGTTTCTTATGGTAAAACTATTTTTCAAAAAATATTAACACTGGGGCTAGAGTTGTGGTGGGGCACTTTCCTGACACATGTGAGGTACTAGGTTTGATCTTCAGTATTGCATAAAAAATAAACAAACAAAATAAAGGTATATGCCATCTTCAACTAAAAAACAAAAAATACTAGCAATTTAATTTGATTTGCATAAGTTATTTGATTATCACTAGAAAAGTACATATAAAATACATTAAGTAATTTGAATCTGTTCAGCCTTATTGTTTCTCTAAAACAAAATAATTTTACTCACATTTTTTCCATCCAGAAATTCCATGCACTTTTCTTTTCTGTTGAAGTTACCAATGACTTCAGGATGGACACAAGTATGATCCCTGCTGGAAAGAATGGTCATTGGCACCCATGAATATGCTGTCCTCCGGAGCTCTTTAGTAATCTGAGCGATCTGCTTGTGTGTGCGTGTCCCAAAATATATTTTGGGTCTCTTGAATTTCCCCCCTTGATCCTTCTTAATGGTATTTGAAGACTCTTGACTGTTTCCTTGTTTTGCAGAACAACAGCACTTAGAACACTGGCCAGGAGGCTGTAGTGAAGGAAAGAAATGGTAACGAATATCTGGACTACTATATAAAATGTTGTCAAGCCTCTCACGGAATCAGAACCAATAATGAATCACAATTGTTAAAAAGGAAATTTCAAGATATTACAATATCTAAAACTTGCCATTAAATAAACAATTACAAATTTCATTTCAAATTAGTCCTCTTTTCAAAAGTTTCTAACATATCACTCTAACTCTGTAATTCCAACTGTTTTAAGTATATTTTAACTCTTCTCTTTCATAAGTTATAAAAATTATATGACAATGAAGAAGATAATTTTAATTTTTGCTTAGGTTTCATATGAACTTGTGATTATAATTTAGAATTCATAGTTTTGCTCATAGCATAGCTCACTAAAATATTTTATATTACATCAATGTTTTTAAAAGCACTTTAAATATAGTTTACAAAAGAACAGAAATATCAAGTTAAATCTCAAGTACCACTAAAAAATGAGTAAATAAAATTCTTCTCCAGCAAAGGTATTAAATAAATGCAAAATACTAACATTTAACAATAAAAGCAGTTTGCTTATGTGAAAAAGTATACCTGAAAATCCAATTACCTGTCAAAGAATGCAAATCCATCAGTAAAAATTATTATATAGAGTATTATAGGGCAAAGCTCTTCCTGGACAATTTCACTTATAATTCAGTTTCATCAGGGAAATAGTTATGTAAATGTCTCCTAAAATACACCACATATAACAAGGAATAAAGTCTAATATTTACCTGATATTTATCTCATTTCCAAATTGTAGAAAAAGTTTAATGCTATATATTAGAATTATTGGGTTCTTAATAACTCCTTCCTTTAAAGCCTCAATTATCACACCAAAGGAAAATACTGTGAAAATGGCCACTGATAGGGGAAAAAAAGGCAAACAGTACACTACCTTTAAAAAAAAAAAAAATTTTGTACTGGAAAGTTTTCATTTAGTAGAACAAACACTCTACTTACTGAAGTTCTTAGGGTTTTTATTTATTTTTTAATTGTAATCAGTAAGAGTAGTCTTCATGAACAAATACTAAGTCATAGTATGTTACACCACAATACTGGGGATCAAGCTGTCTTTTAGCCTCAACTCAGTGGAAAAGCAAGTTCAAGTTACTCTCAGTCTCACTCAACCTTGTCCGCCATTAAATATTACAATACATGATAGAATGGATGTAAATGTGACCCTTCTGGAGCTGTCACTCACTGGGATAAAAGGTTCACTGATGTGCCAAATAAACAGTCAGTCAAAGCAGATAAAGTTACAGCCATGCTGGAATTGTTACACTGCCTTCTTAGGTTGCTAGTAAAGCAGATTTCATTACAGAGTGCTGCCACATTAAATAGCCAGTTCCAAATATCCTGCCTTCTATATTGAATAATTACTTATTCACTGAAAGGATAAAAAGAAGAGTTATGAATGGGGCTCTTGTCAACAGTGAAGCAGGAAACAGCTGACGTGTGGTTTATGTTACATATGTTGCAATATCCAACAACTTAGAGAAAACGGAATGCAAATCATATCATATTTTCAGTGAATTCTTTTGTGGTCTTTGCAATGAGCACATTAATTAATTAATATATTAAACAATTAAGGTTAACTCCAGGTAGAGAATTAGTTTACTTTTTCATACCTTCAATCTTTTTTTATTCAGTTTTACTATTTTTCTTCCTTGTGATACTGTTAAATTCACTTCAATATTAAAATACTAGGGCCTAATACATCAATAATTTTGTGCTATATGGATACATTATCCTCAGGCATCTAAGAAATCCAATAAGATGGTTGCTTCTCAGGGCTCAGAAAACCTACTTTTGATGTAACACTTTACAACATTAACTCCACTTAGTTTACCACCTACACCTTTTAATTCTGACCAAATATTCAGACAATATAGAAAAAAACTAAACCAACTCCCCATCACTAATAGTTTAGATATAACTAACAATTCTTCATAAACATTCTTTTGCATAACTTTTTTCCTATTAAAAAGGGATGTTTCCAGAAGCAGTGGCGCATACCTATAATCCCAGCACCTTGGGAGGCTGAGACAGAAGTATCACAGGTTCAAAACCAGCCTCAGCAAAAGTAAGGTGCTAAGCAACTCAGAATCTGTCTCTAAATAAAATACAAAAAAAGGGATGGAGACGTGGCTCAGTGGTAGAGTGCCTCTGAGTTCAAACCCCGGTACAAAAAAAAGGGATGTAACTACATATTTTTATAACTTTCTACTTTGTATTCAAACTTTTAAATTTTTAAAATGGTGAATTTGCTAATGAATACTATGCTTATCCTAAAATGTCATGCTAATAGCTGTACCAACAAAAATAAAAGATGGTGAATAAGTTTCAGAAAACTTTTACCACTAGTGGGGCTTTATTTAGGTACATCAAATTGATTTTTTTAACCCATAATTCAGAAAAATTTAAACCATGCTTAATTTTATACTGAATAGGTATTTGTTTGGTTTTTAAGTTGTAAAGTGATCTGAAGTCATTGTACCATTTATGAATTTGAGGTAGAGTCCTTAAAAAATGGTAGTTAGGCAAGTAGAGTATAAGATGGAAATTTAAAAAGAAAGCTGATTCTTACTGTTTGCAATATTAAAGAGGAATTATTTCTTCAGAAATGATCTTCTATTAAAATTTCCATCTACATGATTTGAAGAAGCTGAGGATGTAGCTTAGCAGTAACAGAGCACTGGCTTACCACGTGCAAGGCCCTGGGATTGATTCCCAGCACTGAAAACAACTTATTTAGCTAATTAAAAATAAAAGAGTTGGTATAATCTTATTTGCAAATGGAAAAACTGAATGTGGCAGTCAAAAAGAGGCTTCAACATTTATATAATAACAAAGATAATTACTTATATCAAAATTAGCAACTTTCAATGCTGTAAGAAAACAAGAGATAGGATCTTGATGATGGCAACAAGAGATCAGACTATGCCCCTTTCTCTGAAACCCTTTGACCTAGGAAGCTTGAAACAATGAGACGACTAAAATTAAACAATTTTATACCTCTCACTAAGTAGCTCTCCTGCTAACAAATAATCAGGTCTATCTTTCAGAAGAATGTTTTCTCCTTTTCCTTTCACTCCTTAAATTTTAAAATTAGGAAACTGGATAATAAATTTAAAAGCATTCACTCTCATCCAAAATATCTGAAGGTCAAAAGGTAAAACACATAGGCGGGCCCACACCTGTGAATTCTAAGACATAAAAGTGATTATGATAAGTGGCAGAATCAAACTCTTTAAGAGATGGCTTCTTTTCCACAGCTAAAAATTGTCCAGAGTCTTCTTACTTCAACAAAAGGCAAGAAAACCTAACATAAGTAACAATAAAAATGTCAACATTTAAAAAGAAATACAAGTTACATGTGTGACCATGACAGCTGCAGTGTTTCCATACTCAGAAGTCAATCATTCAGAAATATTTTTTAAGTTTACAATAGCCAAAAAGGTTCTTAGAAAGTCAGCAACCAAGGACTTTTAGAAAATTTTCCATGTATTTAATAATTTCCATTTCTTCTCTTGCCCTATTACATAAAGACATTCTACATTCTTTTAAAGGGTGAATGATTAGAAGATTTGATCTTGAATGAATGGCCAACTGCTGAATCCTTGTCACCATTCCTTTCACAAAGTTATAATTGGAAAAATAGTAAGATATAACAATGTCAATTTCTAAAGTTTCCTAATGCGTTTCTAAACTTTCCCCTGTCCTCCCAAAAAGCAGTATACCTAAATACTTGAAAAACTAAAGTAAGCATAGTGATTAATATTTTTAGAAAAGGAAAATGATAAGGAATAGAAACTAAGTTCATTGCCAAAGAAGTTATTGTGTTAATCTGTACATTGGGGAGTCTCTAAAAGGCCAATATGAATTGAGTTCAAAAAGCAGGCACAAAAGGGTATAGTTAATATAAAAAATAAATATATAGAGATGGGGTTGTGGCTCAGTGGTAGAGCACTTGCCTACCATGTCTGAGGCACTGGGATCAATTCTCAGCACCATGTATAAATAAATGAACAAAATAAAGGTCCATCAACAACTAAAAACAATTTTTTAAAATAAGTATATAAAGAAGTATAAAGGGGGACTGGGGTTGTGGCTCAGCAGTAGAGTGCTCACATAGCACGTGCAAGATGCTGGGTTGGATCTCAGCACCACATAAAAATAAATAAAATAAAGGTATTGTGTCCAACAATAACTAAAAAATATTTTTAAAAGAAAGAAAGAAGTAAAAAGGAAGAGACTTTAAAAAAATGATTTGTACAAAACAAAGGGAAAACTAAGTCAATAAAACAGTAACATTTTTCTATAAACTTCTATGTACATGTTTGTCCTTCCAGCCATACTGCAAAGTCCTTAAGGACAGAAACTTTATATCTTATATCTCTTTATTAAACTCATTCATTGAGCATGGTGTTCTCTACATAACTATAACTTAAATTTTTTAATTGGTAAACTATTACTAAATGTCTAAACCAACTACTACACTCATAGACATTTTTTAAAAAAACTAATAGATGTGGGGCTGGGGTTGTAGCTCAATGGTAGAGCACTCACCCCACATGTGGAAGGCACTGGTTTCAATCCTCAGCACCACATAAAAATAAAATAAAGGTATTGTGTCCATCTACAACCAAAAACATATTTTAAAAAAGAAACTGATAGACGTTTAAATGGTGTTCTAATTCGAAGTACTCTAAGTGTCAAAAAACAAATTCAAAATCAAAAGCTTCTTTTTGAAATAACAATTTATTATTTTTCAAAGCCAAAAAGAAAAATCCATTTATAACAACATTTGAACCACTGTAGCTGACAAACATATATGGTGATATGTTGGTTATTAATGATAATTACTATTATTGGGGCTGTCCATGTACTAAGCACTTTATGTATACTATGTCATTTCAATAATCCATTCATTCAGGAAACAATAGAATCCCTGATATATCAAGCCAAATAGAAGACAATA